TATTATGATTAACTACAAACATCTGAAGCTGACTCAGAGATCTCTGTGATTTTAGAAAAAATAAAAGTCAAATGTAGACACGTCTTTAAAAGACCCTCCTCCTCCTCCTCACCATCCCGCGCAGCTGCGGTCAGCGCACCCCCACTCCACCCGTGTGATTAATACTGATTTTTTGCGCAAATTACAAATTTTTGATGCTCATTATACACGTTAAACATCTGAAGGGGTTGATGTGTGAACTCTTCAGTCCCGGGCTGGTCGGAGCCGAGCTGCAGGTGCAGCTGCTGTAAAGTCGCTGCACCTTGCTTTAAAAACAGTCAGCTGATCCGTTGCGGTTTTGTTGCACTCGTGACGTGAACACACGGGGAATTGTTGCAAAGTGCTTTTAGAAATGTAAATATAAAATACGACGTAATCCTCGGTGGAAAATAGTCCAGGAAACATGTGCGTTCCCGGGAGGTGTTCACCTGCAGCTGAGTGAAGCTGACCCCCCACCCACAGAGAAAGGAAAAAAAGGCAGTAATCACTGATAAGGTAGTAACCATGCTGTGGCTTCACCTGCCGAATTTTCTTTTAAAGAAAGAAAAAGTAGCTTGCAAAGCTGTCGCATCGGTGCAACATGATTAGAAGCAGAGCTGCGCGTCTAACCTCACACACGTCTTCCTATCTTTGTGAGGACCACACACAGCGCTCAGCCTCGCTCTGCGCCGTCTTTTCCCCCCAAGTTTGGTGAGAGGTGGATATGGAGGGACGCAAAAAAATAGCTCTCGACTTGATCTGGCCTTATTTAAATAAAAATGACTACATGCCGTGAAATTCTTAGAGAAGCGGGCCGTCTCGTTGGCGGGGTGGGGGGGGGGCTGTATAATGGTAGGGGAAACACTGGTATGACTCTCATCTACTGCCATAAAACCTTTAAACTTTATGTCTGTCAAAATGAACGAGTTCGATCTGGTCAGATAGATGCAGCAGCCATCTTGAATCGATTGACTCCAAAATTTTACCAGTTTTACCATCCCACTGAGAGGCAGGCTTCAGCTCTCGTGTTGGCGATGTTTTGGCCTTAAGCGTTTTCCCAGGTGATACTAATTAGCGGTGCTGCCAACAGGTGACCATGGTGGACCGGGGAGCGGCAGAGCGAGCGTGCAAAGACACAAACCCCATCATCGACGGCAGGAAGGCCAACGTGAACCTGGCGTTCCTCGGGGCGAAGCCTCGCAGCTCGCATGCACGTGAGTCCGCTTCATCACAGCCAAAGCATCAGTCAGACCAGCAGAATATTGTACTGCTCTGTTCCTTGTGTCAATGCTCCATGCTGTACCGGGCTGTAGGGTTGGGCTTAATTGTATCCTGTGCAATTAATCGCCAGGAAAACAATCGATTATTTTTTGGCACTTGACAGTTAATACAATGAATCCTCCTCTCCGCTTCAAATATGACGAACATTTAAAAAAAAGTTTTGTAATTTATTTATCTGTCAACACAATTTAAAAATATGATGTATAGCCTGAAGTATGTAATTTTGACACAATTTAGAACAGATTTTTACAAAGAGCAAATCTTTCCCATTAAATTGGTCATGTGACTAGGACAAAAGGGTGTGCAGGGGATTAATCGTCAAATTAATAGTTATTGGGTAAATACCACAATTAATCATGATTAATTTTTTTGCCTATATTGCCCAATCCTACCAGGCTGGTTCTGGTGGAGTTTTATAATCTTTTTTTTTTTAGGACGACGAATAAAAATTAGCTAATATGCTAGCTCCAGCGCATTTATGTTTATTGAATGTTGAATAATGTCCACTGTCTTTTTAAAAATAAATAAATACTTTTAGGAAAAATGACTGAATTTGAATTTTTGAAACTTATTTTATTTTATTTTAGTCAATCTTTATTTATTACAGAGCCCGCGAGGGGACATGGGGGGATTTTTTCTTTTGCATTCCCACGCAATACTATTGCGTTGTTACCTCACAATACTTATGCGTTACCTCGCAATACTTATGCGTTACCTCGCAATACTTATGCGTTACCTCGCAATACTTGTGCGTTACCTTGCAATATCTTTGCGTTACCTCGCAATACTTTTGCGTTACCCCGTAAAACTTTTTGCATTACCTCTCAAAATTGTTTCGTGTTCCCACGCAAAAGTTTGTTTTGTATATGGACTGAATTAAATCAGACTTTTATTTTGAAATACCGGGTTACCGAAACAGTATGTGTCGCCACAAGTTCGTGAAATTGACATTGATGTTGCGTGGCTTCACTGTGTTAAAATATCGGCATATGACATACTTCCATGCGTGGTTGTGTGATACATATATTCATTCTGAAGCTGAATTTAAAGCAGTAGGCTAACTCGCTAATGGTGAACATTAGGGGTGTAAGAAAATATCGATACACTGAAATATCGCGATATTTCAGTTCCCGATACTGTATCGATATTCTAAAGCCCTGTATCGATTTTTAATTAAGGTTTAAAATGTCAACCTTCTTGCCAACCGTTCATTTTTATGTTGTAGTTCAGCCTCTGACCACTAGTTGGCAGCAGTGAGCCAGCCATTTGGCTCCTCTATCTCTTGGGCGCCAGAGAGTAAGGGTAGCATTAGCATTGTAGCTTTTCTTTTTTTTTCATTAAGAGGTTTTAATTTAATAGAATTTTTGGACAAAAAAATCACAATATATCGCAATATATCGCCTTGCTTACAGTATCACAATATATCGGGATATATCGTATCGTGACCCCTCTGTTATGATATGTATCGTATCGCCAAATTCTTGCCAATTCACAGCCTAAGTGAACATGTGAATGTGTTAATAAACCGGCAGGCACAACAGTGATAAACGACTTTTGCGAGGGAACGCAAAAGAAAAAAAATCTCCCATGTCCCCTTGCGGGCTTCGTAACTTATACAGGTCTATTTAAGTCACATCGACTCATTTTCTGTTTTAGATAGACAATATGATATAAATACAACACAACAAAAGTGTAATAAATGGGTAAAATATTGAAATTGAAAAAATTTGAATCAGTTTTGCTAGTCTCATCAACTGTGTCCAACATTTGAAATGTAGGAATCTCTTTGTTTTTTAATTTATCAGCTGCTTTTCACTGCAGCTGGGTAACAAACTGAGGAAGTTCACAACGTTTCAATTTGTTTGAAATTCTTGTACATATCATAAAAGCCACGATCACCCGCCGCTTCAAAGTGCAGTCAAACACTAATGGTTTTTTTTCCTGTTACCTAAAATAGTGTGTGAACCACTGGAAAAATTATAACAAAAGTTTCAGAAAATGCTCATGGATGTGTGTCTTTTAAGTCAGAAAAATTCAAGATGGCTGCCAAAGCCAACTGATCTTAAAAAACACAATGTAGTGATTCAGTCAGTTTTGCAGATATTGAGCTAAAGTTTGATGCTGCAGTAGCTGAGAGTCAAAAACAACCCACACTGTGAGCATAACGTTAATTTGACCAAAAGAGCTACAACTCAGTGTTAATCAAGGCAGCGGATAATATGCACTCCATAGAGTTGTCCGTTTTGTTTATGTTTAGGCAACGTTAGGAAATTGAAGTTAGAAGGATAAAGTGTGCTCATTTACACCCAACATTCAGCTTTTGTCTGTCTGGTGGGTTTCCAGCCACCAGACTTTTTTTTTAAACTCTAACCACCTCCTCACATGCTTCCCCTCTGAGGTCTGGTTTCACATCAGACCTTTACAAGTTCTCCGCTGCTGCTTCATTGCAATCTTGGCTGGAATGCAGCCGAGTGTAGGTGTGAGCGACGGTCAGCAACAACAACAACAACAAGGACCGGCTGTTATTCTGAGCCCAGTTCTGCAACACAACTCCCCAAGCGCGCAGCTGATGGGAGTCGGCAGCGAAGGGTGATTTGTGACTGTGTGACAGAAAAGGAGACGATACAGCAGAGCGAGAGGGGATGGGACTGTTGGGAGCAAGAGATAACAGCACGACTGTCTCCTCTTTGTCCCGCGAAGACAGAAAACTGTCATGTTAATGTAGGTTTAAAAAAAAAAACAAGTGGGGGTGAGGTCGTGGCAGCCAAGTTACAAAGAAGTGAAACTGGATGAGAAAGTAGTGAATTACTGGATGAATGACGAAATCTTAGACGGGCAGTGTTTCCTAATGAAGCAACAAGGTCACGCGTATGTGAGCAGCCATTGTTTGAGTGTAAATATCAGCCGGTCATATTGATGTATGTATTCTGGTCTGTGCTGCTGATGTCTCTAACATCCCTCCTCTGTGTGTGTCTGTGTGCGTTTGTGTGCAGCTCTCTCTGTTGGAGTTCAGCAGGTCCAGCCTACGTGGGCTCAGAGGCAGCACGGGTAAAGACACAGACCAATCAATACTCCTGTTTCCACCTGTCTGTCCCTCTCACCTGCCTCCTCTGAACACTCAGTCCAGTGTGTTTGATCGTAAAGAAAAAAGAAACGGTAAAATATCTACAACCCTAATTCCAGTGAAGTTGGAACGGTGTGTAAAGCATAAAACAATACAATGGTTTGCAACTCCTTTTCAACCTTTATTCAATTGAATGCACTTCAAAGACAACACGTTCCAAAGATTGAATGCAGTGCTGCCTGAGGGACTGAAGGTCACAAGCATTCAATGTTGGTTTTCAGTCTTGCCGCTTGCTTGCAGAGATTTGTCCAGATTCTCTGAATCGTTTGATATGGATTATAGTTTGATGAAATCCCTAAATTCCTTGCAGCTGTACGTTGACAAATGTTCTTAATCTGTTGGACTATTTGCTCAAAAAGTGTTGAACCTCACCCCATCTTGTGCAGAGGTCTATAAAGTCCTTGAACAAAAAAACAAAAAACAAAGTAAAAGTAAAATTACATGAACAGAAAATGACTTTGGTAAAAATAAATTTCACTGATGAGAAAACTACTCCAGTAAAGGTCATAAAACTGTTCACAATAATTGGGAAAGTTAAAGTACTTTTACGCACTCTCTAAGAAATAAACTGTTGAATTTTCTGAACCAAACTGGTTCCTCTAAACCAGGTTGAGTAAATTGAGCGATGTATGTATATTTGATCATTTTACTCAACCAGGCTCAGTGGAGCCAGCTGACATGACTTTGAGTAAATTCAACACTTCATTTTTTAGAGTGCAGAAACATCTTTCATGATGAGTTCAGACATATTTAATTTTGTAACGAGTAACTAGGTGTTACATTTTAAAGTAAAGAAGTAAAAATACAATTTCTAGCTTAAAAATGTAATGAAGTCAAAGTGGCTATTTAAAAAAAATAACTGGTAAAATTACAAATCCTCAAAAAAATCTACTTAAGTACTGTAACAAAGTAAATGTACTTACAGTAGTTACTATAAACCTTTGATCTTGGGAGTGACTGAGCCTTTCAAGGATGCTCCCTTTATACCCAATCAACCCATTCACCTGTGGAACGCTCCAAACTGGTATTTTTTGAGCATTCCTTAGCTTTCCCAGTCTTTTGCTGACCTTGTCCCAGCTTTTTTGGAACATGTTGCAGCAATCAAATTAAAAATGAGTGAATATTTGCAAAAAACAAAGTTTAACCATTAGAGCATAAAATATCTTATTGTTTTAGTGTATTCAATTGAATGTAGGTTGGAAAGGAACTGCAAATCATTGTATTCTGTTTTCATTTATGTTGACTCAATGTCCCAACTTCATTGTTGGGCTTGTAATTCTGCACTCAGGAGGTTGTTGCTGTTCTCTCCTTTTTGTTCTGCTCCGTTAAACAGTTGAGATGCTCAAGTCTGAGCTTTAATCACAGATCCGTTGGGCTTCGTTGAAGCTAGAAGGAATTTAGTTAAACTCCCTTATTACACACACACACACACACACACAAACACACACACACACACACACACACACTACACAGTCTTCCTCACCCAGTAAAATGTCTCCTGTGAGTCAACATCCAGTGGTTGTGGTTGAGGAGACATCAGGAAAGCAGATTCTGATTTTACAAGAAATACAATAAAGAATTGTGTTTTTGTAAGTGAGTAACCAGAAAGCACCAGTGTTTGTTATATTATTGTGCTTGATCAAAACAATCATGCTTCATCTTTGCTGTACATAAAGTTTTCCATGCTCACAAGTTAAAGGAGTAATTACTGTAGATCTTTTGGTTCAGTGGAAGAGCTTCAAACAGTATCGTACCTGTTGTGCATAGCTTTTTGATCAAGCTCAGTTTGGAGAAACAAGAGTTTCATTCTGATTAGACTGGTGAGCTAATGGCTAGTCTGAGTGAGGCCAAAAACCAGAGTGGACTGCCGTCATCTTAAAGGACATTCTTTATATAGAAAAAGTCAAAGAAAACATCTTTATATTTAAGAAACTTGGTATAATACACATGATTTTACCCATATTTTCTTTTGATTTTGGCTCAGCCATAGTGAAACAGGAAGTGACATCAAAGGGGAATTATTTCAGTAAAGGAGCTTGCTGTTGTTTGTTTATTGAAACATTATTTGAACTCTGACTCCTCTTCATCTCTCTGATAATGACTCAAATTAATCTAAAGAAACATCCGATTCGTCTCTACGGTCTGTTAGCTGTTGTAGCAATGCTTTGTTTCCATACAGACATTCCCCTTTGACATCACTTCCTGTTATTTCACACAGGAATATCTCAACAACTGCTCATCTCTGCAGTGTGAAATTATTTTTGCAAAATTTCATGAACATTATCTTTCTGCAGATGCATCCATATTTATTAGAAAGGTCTGATGTCACAGGCACTTTAAAACAACTATAGCTTCAAACGTTTCATTGCAGTTAATCAGAATCATTTTGAGATACTTTTATCTTCTAGCATGATGATTTAAATGAAATTCTATTATTGTTTTTTTTTCAAGTGTAAATCAGCAGCAGTTAGCAGTAGCGCTTTTGCTTTAACCTGGAGGCCTATTTGCAGGAATATCTTGTTTGCTGTTATAACATTGTAATGTCGAAATGATAACAGTGTAAATGTTTATAAAACAGCATTTTGCACGAACTCCTGTTTCTCCAAACGTAAGTTATTCACAGAGCTGTTTAAAACAGGAAGGATATGAATTATTTATAAACCTTTTACATTTTATAAGATCTGAACTGTTGCTTTAAACACCGTCCAGTCTCATCTCTTTGGTTATGGTTGAAACTCAGGATTCAGACACTCTGATAAGAAGTCACAATACAGTCGGATAAAAAAAACATTTAACACATTAAACATTTAATTTGTCCTTTTCAAATAATTGTATTTTTATGTTTTGCATGTTTGAAATGTTTGCTAAAGCACAGAAGACCTGAAGAAACAAACACATGTTGGATAATCCACATGTAATAAACTAGAGGTTTGATGTTGTGCAGAAGACTCATAATAAAGTAGCTGCTCTTTTAGAGAACAAGGTTTGCTTGTTTTTGTTTAACTTGTGAAGCTTTCCCAGATGGATCTTCTAAGTTTGTTTGTTTATTTATTTATTTATTTTGGACTTTATTTTAAGGACGACACAGGAAGCAATGAATCGGAAGAGCTCTCTTCTGTCTGGCTCTCTGCAGGCTGACATGTTCAGAAGCTGCGGCTACAGAAAAGTCCATTAAAAACCAAAACCGTTCTGAGTGCTATTAATATTACAGTCCTCAGTTTGTGAATGAGGGATGAGGGGAATTTAAGCTGACCCAGATGAGTCCACGAATGAGTGATGAGGGTTCGTCGTCTTCCAGGATGAGGGATGGACATTGGAAGCGGTGTGGTTTAGTCTCCTAATCTCTGCTTCCAGAAACCAGTCACAGTTCAGCACCTCGTCGCAGACTGAGACAACACCTGACAAACAAACAAACACACACACACCACACCCACGGGTCAAACACACACCGAACACAGCTCTTTGTTTGACAGCATGGAAACACCTTCAGTGTAAATGCTAAGATGCTTTTAGATGGTGTCCGTGTCCAGCAGTCACTGTGTGAGACACCTGGACAGGTCCCACATCAATCACAGGGACACATAGAGACAAATGAGACGAACAACCATTCACGCTCACTCACATCTAGAGTTTAGAGTTACCATTTAACCCAACATACATGACTTTGGTCTGTGGGAGAAAACTGTATGTGTATAGTGCATTTATATAGTTAAGATACTGAGCTAAAAGTTAATGAGGTTGTAGCTCAGTTTAATCCCCATCACTTATTTTAAAGGGATCCATGATTAGTTGTAACATTAAACTTCATTTGATAAGCATTTATTTTACCTGTAAAATAAAGACCGTAAAAATACTTTAGGCTGTTTTAGTTTTGTAATTTTTTTAAAATATATTTTAACACAGACGGGGCCATTTTATTTACACTCAAAGCATTCTGGGTAAATGATGACATCAACTAGATCATCGGTGCGAGGCTGCTAGTGAGCTATATCCACCCTGAAGGTTAATCTTGGACAATATCTGATGATCGACTCTTTTAAATGAAACCAGAGAGCGTTGACAGAGAGGAGAAGATAGAAACGACTCAGCCTGTAACTGAAAATATGGATGGAGGACAACAGAGCTGCTTCATGGAAGAAGAACCTCAGCTTAGCCTGTTAGCCTTTGCGCTAGCCCTCACGCTATATTGCCTTATATGTATTAGCTCGGCGCTAGCGCGACAAACAAGCCAAACTGAGGTCCTCCATCCATATTTTCAGTTGCAGCTGAGTCATTTTTGCGTTCCCCTCTCTGTCATGTGGATGGAGGACCTCAGTGACGAGAGGAGAATGTGTAGCTCTGAGCTAATACATATATATGGTGATAGCATCGGGGCTAACGCTAAAGCTAACAGGTTAAGCTGAGGTTCTTCTTCCATGAAGCAGCTCTGTTGTCCTCCATCTATATTTTCAGTTACAGGCTGAGTCGTTTCTATCTTCTCCTCTCTGTCAACGCTCTCTGGTTTCATTTAAAAGAGTCGATCATCAGATATTGTCCAATATTAACCTTCAGGGTGGATTTAGCTCGCTAGCAGCCTCGCACCGAGGACCTAGTTGATATCATCAATTTCCCAGAATGCTTTGCATGTAAATAAAATGGCCCTGTCCGTGTAATATATTTTTAAACTTTTAGTTTAAAAATTATAAAACTAAACAGCCTACAGTATTTTTACAGTCTTTATTTTACAGTTAAAGTAAATGTTTATCATATAAAGTCTAATGTTACAACTAATCGGGGATCTCTTTAAATGCCAACAGATCTCTGGAAATGTATCTATGACATGAAAGATGGAGGGAGATATGCAGAACAGTAAATGATAAAGCTAGCTAAATCATAGCTAAAAACTAAACTAAAATTGAACTGAGGCTTTGGCAAAGTGTTTGAA